ATAATATATATATGAATACATATATAGATAGATAGATAGATAGATATATAAGAGAGATAGATACTTAGATAGATGAATATTAATTTAGCTCTTCGTTAATTTATCTGTATGTATATGTATTTGCTCCAGAATTCGAGTTCACGAGTAACAAGACTGTAATCATTTGTCTTCCCCCCTTTATGTCCCCTTTCCTTCGGCATGAAACATCACTCCATTCTCAAACATAGCCGCCCCCTCCCCTCCCCTTCCCCCCTCCCGCTCCCCTTCCTCCCCTCCTCCATCGTTACCTTTCCTTCCTCCTTCCAATTCTCCATCTCACTCTTCCCCGCCCACCACCTACACCGTCACCTCCCCTCTACCTCCACCTCACCTCTCTACGCCTCTCCCGCACCCTGTCCTCATCCTCCACCTCCATCTCCCCTCAACCTCCCCTTGCCCTATCTCTCTCTTTCCCTCTCCCTCCCCTACCACTCCCCATCCCTTCCCACCCCCTACCACTCCCACCCTCCCCCCACCCCTACCCCCACCCCTCTCCCTACCCCCACCCCTACCACTCCCCATCCCCCTCCCACCCCTCCCCACCCCTCCACCCCTCTCCCCACCCCCTCCCTAACCCTCCCTCCAACCTTCTCTCACCGCCTCTCGCTCCGCCCACTCCAGGTCTGTACTACGGGGTCACCATCTCCCTGGTCAGCTTCGCCACGGGGCTCTCGGTCGTCACGCTCAACATCCACCACCGGGGAATGCGGGGGCGGGAGGTGCCGGCGTTCGTCAAGAAGGTCGTGTTCAGCTACATGGCCAAGATGATGTGCATCCGCCTGGACATCCCCGACCCCATGGGAGGCCAGGGGCACAAGTTCGCCTCCAACCTCAATCATCATGTGAGTTGGGAGGTGTAGGGGGTGGAGGGTGGGGGTTGGGCGGGTGGTGGAGGGATAGAGGGATGGATGAGTGGCTGAATGGGTGAATGAATGGATTTGTGGCATCTGGATGTTGACCGAAAGGAAATCTAGTAATTGAGAAGTAAACAATTTATTGTACGAGGTATGCAGTATCCGTTACTGGTCAGACTCCATGATCCTATTCTGGGCGTGTGATTTTACTATTGTGTGCGTGTGTTTGAAGTGTAGGTTTGTGTGTGCGTGAGCAAATGTGGTTACGCTGTGATATTATTCATTAGGTTGGTCAGTTCATCATATTTAGTCTATATTGTTCGCGTTTTAAATTTTCATGAACCGTATGCTGCAATCAAACTTAATGAAAATCAATTGAAATAAACAGGAATAGAAAATCGGGGAGGGGGGCAGTGGCAGCGCATATTTACATGAACCAATATGATTCTTACTTTTGTTATCGTCTCACAGGCCCTTGATGGTGTCCACTAACAAGAAATAGCCATTATAGAAGGGCAAATAATAATATACAAAAAATAACAATGGCAATACTGCATTTTCCTAAGTTATACATTTAATACATTTTCTATAGAGAGATGCGGGTGCATTTTATGTTGTTGAATGTTACATTACTGGCTTGGTAATGTATTTATTATGTATTGTTTTATGCGGTGCAATAAACAAGAAAGTAACGCAGGGAATCTTATAAGCACCAGACTCTGATCAAACACACTTTAATTACGGGAAAGCAGACAGCCCTGTCTCTGAGAGGTCAGATATCGAGAACTTTTATTACTGCCATTTTCTTTAGATTATTAGTTAGGGGGAACTTTTGTAGACCTGTGAATCTTTTCCAATTTCGTACTTGTAGTCATGAGGAAGTGGAAAATCTGAAATTCGAGCTAACTCCTGAATCTTAAGATATAAAAAAGTATGAATATAAGATGAGACAACTTTTACTTTAACCTTATAAAGATTAAACGATAAAGAAACGTTTTTTTATATATAAAGGATTCGAACTATTTTTGGGGAGGATTCGAAACGGCTTATTCGCACAACACTCAGATGGATATTTCGTATATATTTTGTCTAAGCAGTTAATTAGGGAATTAAAATAGTGTGCCTTTGCAATATATTCTCTCCAGCAGTTGCTTTCTTATCCCCCTGCTGAGTCCGAAATGTAAATTTCCGTAAACTACTACACAGCGGAAACGTGACGTCAGTGTTTACGTCATAAATTTTTGGCGGGTTTCCGGTGCTTCGTTTGCCAAAAGTTCCCCTGGTTTATGGCGCGCTGTTGCACTCCAGCCTTCTTTTTGACATCATTTCTGCCTGCTTTTGTGCACACTGCTGTTTTTGTTGATGGTGATACACGACATATTGGGAATTCGTTTATTAGACCAGTGGCTTAGTACAAGAAATAAAAACTGATATGTTCTGTAACTGTTGCGTAAATAGTTGAAATTCGCCACGCCTCCTAAGTTTCTGCTAGATATAATAAGACGGGGGGGGGGGGGAGAATGCAGATGGGCGCGGATGATTTTTTTAGCCTAGCTTGGGTAGTATTCAATTATTTTCATGTAAGAGCTTTATAACATATGCTAATTACTCTTGCATTTATTGACGTATATATAACCATTCAGTTACAAAGTCCGGCACATTTTTGATAACGTCGATAAAATTGGTTTAACTTGTATCTACTATTACTATCATTATCTAGACTCAATTCAAGTATTTTATTTTAAACGCTGTTAAATATATCACTTCTCGAAAATATAATATAACACTTTTTGTGAGCTGTGATGGGACCTCAAAAATGGCGCTAAAACTGTCCTGAAATTGAAGGATATAGGATAATCTAGATGGGAATTAAAGCGATTATAATGGGATTTGCTATTTCTGAGATATTGTTGAATTGTTAGATTAAATCTAAATGTGTGACGCTTCATTTATTACTTTTTGTTGCATTTAAAATTTAGAACATGAATCAGAGCTGTCACACGCGCGGCCCAATATGCATATTTTAACTGAGCTTTTGACGTTTATGTACATTATTCATGTCTTTAGATTAATCAGATAACATTTTGTATTTGCATTTCATTATAGAGATTTAAACATTTTAGAAACTATCCCTTTCTATCTTTTGCTCTATCATCTGGCCCCCATAGGTAGCACTTATAGGTAGTACTGTTGAGTCTGATTTCCATGTTAAGGTTTCGTGTGAATATTTGGGAATCTTTGTTTGTTTGTTTTTGCTTTTGTTAAAAATAAACAGAAATGCCATCGGTTAGCGTTGAAATGCAAAATAATCAGGTTTAAGGAATGGAAGTTGTGAAGCGAGCGCGGGGCTAATTTCGCTTCTCTTGATAACACTGACAACAGGAGAAATCTGAAGAGGTAGCAAAATATGAGGAGGCAAATGAAGAATCAGCTAAGAAATTAATCCAATACATCATCAAATAGATCATTTATTGCTGGTTGGTGACAAAATAAAGTTTCGACTAAATCATCATAATAAGATATTATACATTTTAGATATGAATAGCATGAATCAAAGTCCATAACACCCAACCATATCTTTTTACTAAACCTAAAGTAGAAATTATTAGCGAGACACACCTTTTTATCCTGGCAGTACCCTACAACTCTACGTAAACCTATACTCCTTTCACCCAACCTCACATTCATTCATCACCGACCATCACCTTTACCCAACTAAACCTAACAAAACAACCCCCCCCCCAAACACAAACACACACACAGCCGAGACACAAACCTCAAACGACGCCTCAGTTACAACCCTAAGCGAGGCTCAGGTCTGCCATAGTCTTCCGTCATCCTTTGTTAGCAGAAGAGCAAGCAATATCCACAGGTTTACATCACGCTGCCTCGCCCTTTTGTTTCCCCGGGGCCTTAGATCTCGAAAGGGGGGGGGGGGGTAGGCGAGGGAGAGAGACGGAAGGAGGCCCGAAGGGGGGGGGGGGGTAGGCGAGGGAGAGAGACAGAAGGAGGCCCGATGGGGGGGGGGGGCGAGGGATGGGGGGGGGATGCGAGAAGCTAGGGTTCAACACGAAGAACAAACACTGATGAAGGGAGGAATGATTATACCTTTGCTATTGTACCTATTTTTTATGTTCGTCTGTGTATGTATGTGTGTGTGTGTGTCAGTGTATATGTACGCATGTGTGTATCTGTTAGTGTATATGTATGTATGCGTGTATATGTCAATGTATATGTAGTATGCGTGTATCTGTCAATGTATATGTATGTATGCGTGTATCTGTTAATGTATATGTATGTATCATCTGTCAATGTATATGTTTGTATGTGTGTATCTGTCAATGTATATGTATATGTGTATCTGTCAATGTATATGTATGTATATCTGTCAATGTATATGTATGTATGTGTGTATCTGTATGTATATGTATGTATGTGTGCATCTGTCAATGTATATGTATGTATGGTGTGTATCTGTCAATGTATATGTATATGTGTATCTGTCAATGTATATGTATGTATGTGTGTATCTGTCCATGTATATGTATGTATGTGTGTATATGTCAATGTATATGTATTGTGTATCTGTCAATGTATATGTATGTATGTGTGTATCTGTCAATGTATATGTATTATGTGTATCTGTCAATGTATATGTATGTATGTGTGTATGTCTGTCAATGTATATGTATGTATGTGTGTATGTATGTCAATGTATAATGTATATGTCTGTCAGTGTATATGTACGTATACGTGTATCTGTCAATGTATATGTATGTATCTGTGCATCTGTCAATGTATATGTATGTATGTACCTGTCAATGTATATGTATGTATGTATCTGTCAGTGTATATGTATATGTGTATCTGTCAATGTATATGTATGTATCTATGCGTGCGTGCATAATGCATACACTCGTGTTTCTGGAATATGAATACCGACCTGTCCCTTCCCGTCTAACGTGCACTTCTCTCCCCACTTCTCCTCCCTCCCCGGCGAGCGCAGAGCGAGGGCGTGTTCCGCGAGGGCGCCGGCCAGCTGGAGATGAGCGAGAGGCTGCTCGACCCCGAAGTCAAGTGCGAGAACGGCGGCATCCCCCCCACCAG